AGCAGTTTACAATTTGCATATGAATACAACTAGCAGTTTACAAGTCTGCATATGTATAACTAGCAGTTTACAATCTGCATATGAATACAACTAGCAGTTTACAATTTGCATATGTATACAACTAGCACTTTACAATCTGCATATGTATACAACTAGCAGTTTACAATTTGCATATGAATACAACTAGCAGTTTACAATTTGCATATGAAAACAAATGTACAGGGCTACAATATGCATATCAAAATCACCTCTGTAGTTTACTATCTGCACATGAATACAGCTGTAGCAGTTTACAATCTACATGTGAATACATATGGCATAGGCATTAATCTGTGATAAAGCCAATGACGGAGAGGGAAAACTAGGTCAGGGGAAGGCCCATGACCTCATAGATTTTCATTCACATGAACACATGATCGAGGTCAAGAGGACAAGAGCCATCCTGCCTTTGGTTCACTCCCCATTTTCCGCTTATACGAGGACTAAAGCCAAATGCTACGGAAAGTGGGGTGGTTGGGAGGGGCTATAGAGTCTATGGTTCGTATGAACTATGTGAATAGGCAGGTTGAAAACCTTCTGTCTAAATTCACTATGTTCAATTATCCACTATAGACTCCAAGCAGTCAAAATGACTTTTTTGAACAGTAGGCAAAACAGAAAATAAAAAAGTACTCAAAAGAATAATAATATTTATGACTACCACCTAGCTACATCCAGTGTCTTACCTTATCATAGTAAAAGCATACTGCTGATGACGGGATCGGCATTGCTAGACCCAAACCCAATTATGGGAGCACTGACGGGAGAAACTTCTCTGACAAATCTGTCAACAATCAATCAAAGTTGTAAGTATGTATACGAGGGGGCACCTGACGCAAGAGATAATGAGTTTGTGATCGCACAAACCTTATGCGCTCGTACTTGGTGTTTCTATCGACCCAACTGGTCAAAAACCTCAAACACTGTAGAAGTGATCAAGCAAGAAATGGAAGTTGGGAGGCTGGTCTGTTCTGCTTACCCTGGCCATAACACAACATGTGCTTGTTGCCCTGCCTTGACTCCCTAGTACATCTCTCATAGCAACTCAAAGCTCGAACCGTGCATAGAAACAATTTCTCCTGGTCCTCTGGGCTGACAATATTGGCCAAACGGGGTAGGATGGTCAGCTATGGATCCGGGGTATCCGGAAGCACTACCAGTGTCTCGACTAACATTTCCACAGTAGTGGACACCGGGTCTTGGTTGGCCCGTTGGGCGCCACCACCATTACCCGGTGAATCAACAGAAAGGGAAGAAAGGCATACATGCCCATGTGGGCCCTGCCACTCTGGAACCGGAGTCATCACAAGTGGGCATCCGCTTGACTGTTCCACACCCCTGGAAGGTGGTCTGTAGTAGCTCCACATTGCATTCCAGGCACCAATGGAGAATTTGCTCCGACAGAGCTGACAGCGGTGTTGTCCGTACGGAGCAAAACTCTGTGGTCCCAAACACTATGGGTTGAAAGTGTATCAGTGCTAAGTGTACTACTTTTAGTTCGAGCCAATTGATATGGCAACCCTGAATCCAATGCAGGAGACATATTCCTTAGATTTGTTTGTTCATTTCAACACTCTGGTGAACACGTATTGAGCTGTGCATAGCCCAAAGGGGAGCACCCTGAAATAGAATACTTTACCCAAATGAGCAAATCGAAGAAGTCAATGACTCGCTGGATGCATCTGTATGTGCCAGTAAGTATCGCTTAAGTCTAGCAGGGCTAACCAATCGAAACGGTGCACAGAGAGTAAAACAGTGCTTGGCGTCTCCGAGGAACAAATACTGATTTAGTAAATGCTTAGATCCAGAACTGGATGCCAGCCACCAGTAGCTTTTTGAACTACGAACACAAGCGAGTAGAAGCCCAGAATGAATGGCGGGTCTTCTACCCTGTGTATTGCACCCTTGTAAGCAAACTGTCTTCCTCCTGGTGGATTGCCTCTGCTTGAGGGGGGATGTCAACAGGGGAGGTGGAGATAGCAGCGGAATTTTTAACAGTTTGTCCATGGAACGGTTACCGGCTGCCTCCAAGCCGGAATACACCAACGATATCTGAGTGCGACAGGGATATATGGCTACGGTTCAGCGGTTGTACATTGGGGGCAATCTCTCCTCCACCGAGGCAAGTCTACTCAAGGCTTGCAAGAGTCAAAAAGCTCTGATTCTGCCTCTGCCTCCCACCGAATGCTTGCCCATACCCCATGTCGCATCCGGAAGCATCAAACTTGATTGAGGTTTGGCACCAATATCCGACATTGCACCAATCGGGTATCCTACCAGACCCCACGTCTGATTGTTACCAATGGTCACAGAAGGAGTACCTCAGAAAACTCAGTCGAAAAACTGCTGACTGAACCACACTGATTTGCTACGAAGCAGACTTGGTGAGAAGAAAACGGAGTGAACCCAAGGCAAGATGGTCGTTGTCCTCTTGACCTCGGTCATGTGTTACATAAAAGAAAATGTATGAGGTCATGGGGCTTCCCCTGACCTAGATTTCTTTCACTGCCATTGGCTGAATCGCAGATTAATGCCTACAGTTCAAAATAGTCATTTTGACTGAGCAGAGTCTATGGTGGGTAATTGAACGTGGTGAATTGGTTCATATTGTTTGTGATCATTTTTGTTTTGTTGTTGTAAAGGTGGAAATCAATGACGATGCAACTCATTTCACGATTATATTCCCACACAAAAGTGACATATCGGTACTATTTAAAATAATCAGGCACATGGTAAACAATTTTGTGAGCTGTGAACACTGGGCGCTAAGGCAAAAGCCACTGAAACATTGTATTGTATGACCTATGACCTATGAGAAATTTCATGATTTTCAATAAATTTAAACAAAATCTCTCACAAAATTGACTCTCACTCACAAAGAGGTTTATGATATTTAAAGATAACTTCCAAAACTCAATTCTGTACCACTGGTTTTTTACCGTCCAGTAATGATAAAAACATTGGTTTATTTAAGGTATTTTCAAAGTTTATTCATATCCACATTAAATATTCTAACACTACAATCTGTACTACAGCTGGCAAGTTGCAAGTTGTCATCACTCTGAATTGGTCTCCATTTGAGTCTCTTTACAGTCAGGGTGTGCGACATACTGAGTAGTAAACTTAAGGAAATATCTGAAAATTAGGAAACTAAATTAGAATGAAATATGAATCCATGAGAGGTTTGTGAAAAATGAAGAATTAGGACAGACTACAAACCATGCCTCAAATTAAGACTACAGACTAGTTTTGAGATGGTTGACTAATGCATCCCCAGCGAGTAGCAATAACTTTTACACTAAAAGGATACATTGCGTCAAGAACACAACATTTGATCCATTGACTAGATTCGGTTGGTTTCCACGTATATAACATAATTGCACCAGATTCACAGCCAACACCAAGTAAATATCTGCAACAAAGAAAAACACATTTACTAAAAAAAACAAGCCATGCATGGCACAGTCCGTTAGTTATCAAATTTAAGATATATAGTTTTGTTTATAGTAATATAGCTGGAATATAACTATGTCAGAAATATGATTTTTAACATCATTGACAAATGATGACATTAATTTTGTATCTGATCGTCAAACAAGTACTTGTCTATATTGAGAGATATTGCTCTGGAACAGCATTCAAAATCAGCCATTTTGAATACATATATATATATATATATAACATGATGTGTAACGAATATATAAAATTTGAAGATAATCAGTCAAAGCATTTAAGAGATATAGCTCTAGAATCCCAATCATAAAACAAAATGGCCGCCAGTCAGCCATTTTGAATCCAATCTGAAAAAAAAAATTACGCGCATCAGGAACCTGTAATGTCTAATGTATGTTATACGTTTGAACAAAATCCATCCATAAATGCAAGAAATGCTTGATATTTGAGGATTTTTTTAGCACAAAAATAGCCACCATTTGGCCACTTTGAAAAGGATCGTCAAACCAATATATTCGTATATCTAGGACATGATGTATAATGAATATTAACAAATTTGAACATAATCAGTCAAAACAAGTCAGACATATGGGTCTGGAAACCCATTCATTAAAACAAAATGGCCGCCAGACAGCCATTTTGAATCTGATCTGACAAATAAAATGATGTGCATCAGACCTAATTTAATATGTACCAAGTTTGAACGAAATCCATCTATAAATGCCAGAAATGCTTGATATTTGATGATTTTTTTAGCACAAAAATGGCCACCATTCAGCTATTTTGAATAGGATCGTCAAACCAATATATCTGTCTATGACATGATGTATAATGAATATTTAAAATTTGAACATAATCAGTGAAAGCAAGTCAGACATATGGCACGAGAACCACATTCATTAAAACAAAATGGCCGCCAGTCGGCCATTTTGAATCTAATCTGAAAAACAAAATTATTTGCATCAAGGTCCCATAATGTCTAATGTATACACCAATTATGAACAAAATCCATCTGTAAACAGCCGAGAAATGCTTGATTTTTATGATTTTTTTAGCACAAAAATGGCCGCCATTCGGCCATCTTGAATCAGATTGTAAAACAAAATGATGTGCATCAAGGTCCTATAGTGTCTAACGTATATACCAATTTTGAACAAAATCCATCTGTAAACAGCCGAAAAATGGCCACCATTCGGCCATCTTGAATCAGATCATGAAACAAATTGACGTGCATATGTATAATATCATGTATGATGTATCTTGGAAAGTTTGATTGTGATTGGTCCAGGCATTTCTAAGATACAGATCCGGATGCATGCACAGACACACACACACACACAGAGGTTAAAACACAAGTCCCTGTTTTCGGACTGTGTCCGAACGGGGACTAATAATCACTGAAAACAAAACAGACTTGTAATGATAGGAAACACCTTGATAACATATCAAAAACAAGTATTTACCACAGAATATCTCACAACGAACTTCTGAAACAAATGCACAAGACTGCACATGTCAGAAACAAATTCTTGAGACTGGTGTTACAATATTACAACTCAGACAAGATGGGAAATCTTACCTATCAATCTGTACTGTGATTGGTGCAAAGTCAATAGCAGTTGCAGCTTCTCCAACATCCAGCGGTGATGAACATGGTTTGTAGTTACCTAGACAACTAGAAGCAGGATTACTTCCATCATTTTCTTTTTCTCCCCAAACGATAACCTGAGCAAAGGAATTGATCAGAGTAAAATTTACAATTTGCCTTTCTTGTAAAAAAACACTTTAACAAATGACTTAAACACATGGTAATGACACATTGA